ATTGCTGCCTAAAAATCATAGATTAACAGACCTTATCATTGAGCAAGCACATAGGGAATATTTACATCCAGGACTATACACGATTCAATACCTAATTCGTCAGAAATTTTGGGTTTTATCTTCGCGCAGATCTATCCAAAAGGTCTTGTCACAATGCATTCCATGTTTTCGCCAAAAACCCAAAACATATACCCCTACATGACGGATCTACCATATTTTCGAACATCGCAATTAAAATGTTTCTCTCACGTATGCCTAGACCTAGAATATGCAGGTCCAATAAAAACCTTTGTCGGACACTGGCGTCGTGGTGCGCCAGCCCCAAAATATAGCCGTCTTGTTGATACTTGTGTTAAGGCAATTCATATCGACCTTGTTTCTAGTTTAACCACAGAAGCTTGTATTGCTGCGTTAAGACGTTTTGTAGCCATTATATTGAACTTAACAAATTCGAGATTGCCATGAATTAACAAAGTCCAAACCTGCTATTTTCCCATTGATCCAAGGGACCGTTATATATTAATGTTGGTGAAATTGGCCTTATGTCTGACAACGGAAAGCGCTAGCACGGTAGTTAGGCTTTACTGTTCCCTCTGGACTTTTTTATGCGGTCGAAACTTTTGACGCTGATTAAACAGAAGCAAAAAAACTTCTAACGACGTAAACTCAACTCGATATTTCATGCTAATATCTGCATGTAACTGACACCAGTCCAGTAAAACACAAGCAGGGATCGCTACAAAAGTTTCAGACATCGCAAAGTAGAGATAGTACGCATTGCAGCCGCTACCAACTTCCGTATGGTTTTGTTTGTTGATCTTAAGAGAAGTTCTACTATCTGCAGTCGCGAAGTTTATTAATTTAACATTCATATGACAGCGGCAGAATATTCGCAGGAACTACAACCAAGACAAATACGACTCGGCAAGCATGCAGCTCATCAGTTTGCTGTGGTGCTTTCATATTTTGCGGCATGTTGGCTTCACTAAGAAGGCTTTAAAACTGTCTTGAGAATTTATTTTATGATATTATTTTGGCAGCGAGCATATATTTAAAGTTGCTGATAGTTTGAACTGTTTTGAATAGTATGGGGTCTCATACTTATATAATAATAAAGTTGATTAATAACGAAGTCCATATTACTCGCACTTAAAAGGTCAGACAGATAACTCACATAAACCGGCAGGTCGGTTTTGTTTTCGAGGGGGACACAAGTTTGGCAAAATATCACGTTAGCACGTGCAGCCCCCTAAGCGGAGGTGACACCAACCCTAAAATCTTAAATTGAAAGGGGGGTCGAGTGATACCTAGTTTTAAAGGTCTTCCAATTCCCTTTATAATGATATAAAGTTAATGTACTGAACTGAAGCTCATGTATTTTACATCATTATAAAGGGAATTGAAAGACATTTAAAATAAGGTATGACTCGATCCCCCTTTCCATTTAAGATTTTAGGGTTGGTGTCACCCCCGCCCAGGGGGCTGCACGTGTTAACGTGATTTTTTTCCAAACTTGTGTCCCCTCGAAAACAAAATCGACGGGTCTAAGCGTTTTTCCGAAAATAACTGAGATGCCAGTAAATGCGTCTGTTTCGTTTTCGATGTGCCACCCTGTATAATGTCAAAAAAACACAATAAAATAGTTCATTCCGCGCTTGCTACAAGTGAGCATGAAGTGAACGACAGCTAGTTTCAAGCTAACGTCTTGTAGGAAAACCTACATAATGTCGTAAGAACCTACATAATGTAAAAACCGATATAATGTATAGTTACATAATGCCCCATACACTGAACTTTCCCTCTCACATAGGCTAAAACCCATATACAAGGTGTTTTAAATTTGACCCTCACCATTGGCATCTCGGAAACGGTAAGAAATACAAAGCCGCTTAAATGGGGGCAAAATTGCGTATTTGGGTAATTAACAAAATGCCGCTTGAAAAGTTTCTAAATTCAAAGTACTTTCGGAGCGAGTCGGAAAAAAAAAGAATTTTCCTTAGATAGTTTTGATTTTTTCCTGACTTTATTCGTAGTGGGATTTCAAAATAAATTGCACATAAACATCGCCACTTTTTCTGTCATACATTGACATTGCCAAACCTTGGTTATTCAAAAAAACAGAATTTCATACAGGCCTTGCAATTATCAGATAGTACAGAGAATAACGGACAACAATATGAACATCTGCTATGATTAACCTCTGCTTATTTATGATTATTATTGTTATTACCGTTATACAAGATGGCGTAGTCAAATTTTTACTTCGAGGCTTTCGACTTCTATATCCATATACATATTGCTATACTGTAACTTTATAAATTTAAATGGAGTTTTCAGTCCTAGATTCAGTAATGTATTTTCTTAGTTGACCATGAATTTGTTATGGGAAAGAAAATTATGCGGAAATAAAAAGGTATGGTGAAACCTGACCACAAAATGAAAATTTTATTGATGGTAATAACAATAGTAATCATAAATAAGCAGCTGAGCGGAACCGTGGCAAATGCTTGTTCCGGAAGGTGTTCTATTCAGTAAACAACTTCGCCCCGTTCAAGTGATTGTACACGCGATAACGAATACTTCAGTACCGACTGCCGGATGGCGGTACAAGTCCGTCAACGGGCCACTTTAGGTCTACTTAATCATTAACACGCAAAAAGAAGGCGGTAGACAACGACCAGACGACCGAAGCGGTACCAGACGCTAGCTTTTCCTTTGTCTTATAAATATCCGCATGTTTCCACACCCAAGCTATGTCGGTTATCTTCCAAACCAAAGAAACTAATGATGATAGATCCCTCAAATACTAAGAACTCCGGACGTAAACTTACTCCATTCTCGGAATGTCCGGGTGGAGGGTGGACTCGAGGGAACAACATCGAAGATAAAATCTGTTTTACGAACATCTGCGGGACTATCGGCAACATTGATGCTGTCCATCACTACCCGCAATCCCATCGTCCCGCCATGCTTTTCCTGGCGGAGACAAAAATCTCTATCTGCACCGATTAACCATCTTAGCTTCCCAAATGACGAGGTGCACTCAAATCTGAGAAAGAACGGGGGAGTTGTGGATTTTGTCCACAGCAGTATTTCTTGCTCCAGAGATGTTTCTTTGGAATCAGACCGGAAGGACATTCTCTGGCTTCGCCTCAACTCTAAAACATCCCCCAAATGTATTTGCTGCCTTTATCGCCCTCCTCGGACCATAACTGGGATGACCTACTTGAATACCTCGCGGTCAAAATCGACTTCCTGAACATCAACCACCCCGCTTCAGAGGTAGTTCTCCTCGGTAATTTCAATGCCCATAAAGACCGATGCAGTAGGTCGTGCAGTTGAAGCGTTTGCTCTTAGTCAGCCCTAATTTTTTTCCCGCGTCTCGTCACATGCCAGTAGCCTGCTGGATCCCTTTCTGACTACGCATTATGTCCCTGTGCTGTCCTCCCTTGGCAACTCAGACCACGGTGTTGAGGAGGTTAGATTTCGGTCAGAACCCGCTGTGTCAGCAGAAACTCGCACAGGCCGCAAAATTTGGAATTACGGACATGCCGACTGGGAGGGGCTCAGAGACTTCTTCTCTACTTTTCCTCGGAGAGATGTCTGTTTCACTGACGCGGATGCTGTATTATCGACGTCGGAATGGAGGAATACATTCCTCATACAGTGAAAGTGCCTAAGCCAGAGGGTCCAACGGCTGGTTTAACAAATCGTGTGACACTGCTCTTCAGCGGAAGGTCAAAGCACGCAGAACCTTCTTACAAAACCCCACTGTAGAGAACAGACAAGCCGACGCGACGTTAGTCCAGAAACATATACAGGGTGACTTCGAAGTTGAGTCATTTATTTTAACAGTGAGTAGATCTGATCAAAAGAAATGTTTTTTTCCTTTACCATTTTTCTGGTAAAATTAAAGTAACAAAGTTATAGCCCTTTGGAAGTTTGAGTACCGCCCTGTCTCAATAATAATATTATGTGCTCGTGTTTGGCGACAACGGATATAATCCGCCTTATCGGTTCATCGCATCGGAAACAAAAAAGCGAAAGAATTTGGAACGATGTTTTTACAATTATTTCATTCAGTTGTATACAGTCAGTGTCAGTCGGTAGTGAATAGTGGTGCTGTTGCGTGGCTCAAACGAAATAAAAAATGGCACATGTTTATGCGGATCGGTTTCCCAATCGAGTGCAACCAACCCCTCGTGCCTTTGTTAATGTAGTACAACGGGTTCGTGAATCAGGTGACTTAAGACCTCACATATGGACGGCATGCCGGTGCTCCAAGACCTCACGATCAAATACAGGTCCGCACTGAAATACTTGTGGGGAGGATACTTTATAAAACAAGGTAACATTTTTTATTTTTTTTTTATTTTTACACACATATTTTGGTTTATCTTCCTTCTACAATCATTATCTGAAAATTAATGACTCAACTTCGAAGCGGTAGCAATGCCAAAAACCAGCACGATATAAATGTTAGACACAGGGTAATGTCGCAGCGCAATGGCAGTCGATCTTTCTCGACGCTGGTCAAGCGGATTGAAAAGAACTTCTCACACAGTAGCGTTCCGCCACTTACCTATCTGGATGGAACGATTCTATCCGACTCGAAGGCCAAGACGGAAGTGCTTGTCAAGATTTTTGCTGCCAACTCCAACATGGACGTCCCCCCCAACGCCAGAGTACCGTCAATACAAAGGGTTCCCTACACTATGCGGGAGGTGACGTTCAGGCATAAGACCGTAAGACGAGTACTCTTGTCGCTCGACATCATCAAAGCTTCTGGTCCGAACTTGCCATTGTACTGAAGAGGTGTGCAGCATCCATTTGTAACAAGTGACCCGTAACGTAACCGCGAACATGTTATGTTACGGCTAGTGGGGACGAATACTGTTGCATTTAACCGTAACCATTTTGACACGTGTAACCGTTGCAAGCCGAACCACCGCTTTTCGGTTTTCAGCCGTCGCATCAATGGACTGCTACGTTACGCGCGGCGACAAGTTTTGACGAGTTTATGGTATCGCGTATCCTTTAACCTGTTGCATTCGAGATTTTGTTGTCTTATTGTGAAGTTGTTATGGAGTAAGGAGAATATATTAAATTTCACAGAACATTACCATGCGAGAAATATAATTTGGGATCCTCAACATCCCGATCATTTTAACAAAATTAAGAAAGAAGATGCTTGGATGGAAATCGCTAAAGAAGTAGGAAGACCAGTAGAGCAATGTAAAAAGAAAATGGAAACCCTTTTAGCATCTCTTAGAAGAGAAGAAATGAAAATGAAGAAATCTATTGAAACTGGAAAAGGTAAGTACCTATAAATACATATGTGTGTAATATAGATAATTATGTACAGGGCAGTCCAGTGAAAAAAGTGAACAGAGTCGTTTTTTCTTTGCCTTCGGAATTTTCGCAAAAAATTGAAAAAGCAGTTTCACGTATTTTTATCCGGGGAATCCGAAAATGCCAAAGAGGAAACCATTGAGTCTCAAACAAAAAAAGTGCGAAACAATTATTTTTTTTTAAATTAAACGCCTTAATTTTATATTTTATCTTTATCTATTTTATTTTATATACGTATACTAAATGACATATAAATCCGAACACCCAGTTTAAATGGTTTTATTTTAATAAAAGTTGGTGAATGCATTTATCTTACTGTAAATAACAAGTGAAAAATTTTCAGCCTTATCAGTTGGACATTCCGGTTTTTATACTGCTTTTTTTTAATTCACTAACGCTCTAAAAATGAATATTTTAGCCGCAGTAAAGAATCAACGTTGGCGGATTTTGGTTCTTGACATCATTTACGATCGGTTACGATGCCTAGAGTACGGAGACCTGTACGATTTTGTCAACTTAGTGAGTTTGATAGGGGTCGTATAGTGGGACTTCGCGAAGCTGGACTTTCTTTTCGGGCAATTGCAGTTAGAATGCAAAGAAGTGTAGACACTGTGGTTAGGTGTTGTCAGGCATGGCTTCGAAAAGGCCGTACGCAAAGAGCAAGGGGCACTGGACGCCGCCGTAGAACAACAGACCGTGAAGATCGCCGCCTAAGATTATTGGCCTTAAGGGACCGTTTCTCCACTGCCAGGTCCATTGCAAATGAATGGTTTGCAGAAGTGTTTACCGACGAATGAGAAGTTTTGGTTTGTTTTCATACCGGCCACACTGGGCCTCCCTTTAACTCGAGAACACCGACGTAATCGCCTTGAGTGGTGCAGGCAACGGTCACTCTGGGATCAGGAATGGAACAGTATTGTCTTTAGTGACGAGTCTCGATTTTGTTTAGGCATGCACGATGGTCGTGCCAGGGTTAGAAGGCGACGTGGTGAAAGGAGGAATCTACAGTTTTTTGTTGAAAGACATGTTCATCACACTGTTGGAGTTATGGTTTGGGGTGCTATAGCTTATGGTTCCAGGTCACCTTTAATCTTCATCAGAGGTAACATGAACGCGCAGCGTTATATCCACGAAGTTCTAGAACCCCATCTTTTACCCTATCTTGACACCCTGGCAGATACAACTTTCCAACAAGATAATGCCCGACCACATGTTGCAAGAGTCACAATAGACTTCTTTCAACATAATGATGTCACATTTTTACCATGGCCACCAAGATCTACCGACTTATCCGCAATTGAGCACGTGTGGGATATGATGGGAGGAGATTGCTCAATTTGCAACGTCCTCCTCAGACTCTAGAAGCACTTCGAGAGGAGTTGGTGGTTGCCTGGAATGAGATACCACAGGAGGACATTGACCACCTGATCAGAAGCATGCCTAGGCGCGTTGGAGAATACGTAGCACATTAGGGTGCATCCACACATTATTAAAGGTCAGAGGGCTTTAAAGCAGTGCAATCATTTTGAAATTTTTATCATTTACTTATTATGCTTTTTAAGTACTTATACAAAATTTTATTAAAATAAAACCATTTAAACTGGGTGTTCGGATTTATATATCACTTAGTATATTTAAATTGCCAACTTATCTTTGTTCCTCTCTGATATAAAATTTATGCATGCCGGTTTGTTTTATATTTCAGTCTCAGCAGTTTGAATTTAAAACTTTAAACAAATTATATTTTACAAAGTAATAAGCAGATGTTTTGTATAAAATATACCTTTTGTGTACCTGATAATGTTTCAAACACAAATCGCTCAAATTATAAGATTAAAAAAAACGGTATACATTAAATAAATATGAAATACGTGAAACTGCTATTTTGAATATTCTCAGAAATACCGAGGCGAATGTAAACTGTTCTGTTTACTTTTCCCTTGACTTCACTGTGGTTTAATAAAATACAAAAGAAACAAAACTAGTTAATTGTTATTTACCAGTATGTTATGCTAATTGAAACTTTTCGATTTTCAAGGAACAGAAGAAGTTTACACAAGCACTTGGTTTGCTTTTACTAGTCTGCAGTTCATTTTGGATAAGAATAAGACAAAGCCGTCATTGAATACTGTAAGTATTTAATAACTTTACACATTATAACTATCTAAACTATGTCTTAACTGTTTATTACATCTAGGTATTCTTGAACAGTAACTTACAATTTCACATGATCTTTTCTTCTCTAAGCATACTGATTTTGCCACTCTATTTTACCTTCTTTAAGGAAATAATCGGGTAGTTCATCACGCGAATTTATAAAATTTGACTTTGCTCTACGTGGTATATTTCTCAGAGGTAATAATGAACTGCATTCATCGGATACCATTGCTCTCCAACTCCCATTTGTCAGGGTGAGGGATGTTCAGCGTTCTGTTTTCCATTTCTTTGTACAAGCAGGTACTAGCAAATATTCGACCGTCACATATTCGGCCTTGGCATCCTACATCCACAAATATAAAATTATAGCTAGCATCTACCACTGCAAAAAGAACTATGCTGAAAAATCCTTTATAATTGATGTATTCACTGCCACTATTTATGGGACATTGCAGTATAATGTGCTTTCCATTGGAAAATTGAGAAATATTTAGAAATGTACAATATTTCTAAATACAGTGTCATCCTATAGATACATTGAGAATTTGTATTTTGTTTTGAATTGCAGATGCATCTATGTGAATATGAAGAAGTTCGTCATCAAGAAGGAACTGGATCTACTGTTGAACATAAAGCATCGGCTAAAGTGGATGATCTTGCATCTCAAGCGAAAGAATCTAGCAACATTGCGGAGAGCCCCCAAATCAAAAGAATTATTCAGTCCTCGGGGAAGAACAGAAAAAAGGCAAAATCAACCATGTCTAGTGGTACCGAGAGTGGTACCGAACGCCTGGATCAAGCCTTCTAAATTCTCCAGTCCTCAGCCAAGCAAATCAATACCAATCAAGATGAATGTTACTGCTTTGGAAATTTTGTAGCTTCCAAACTTCGTGCATATGACTTATTTACAAAAAGCGCTATTGAAAATGATATTATAAATATATTTCAGATGGCTAATCAAGGCCGATATAATATCGCATATCCCCGTCTTCCTCATATACCCCATACAGTAGGTAACCCAGTCATTGTACCTGAAAACAACTCAAATAATCCTGGTTCCTCCCACTTGTCATACAATTCACAAAATACGTCTATCTATAATTCACAAAATTTAATTCCCACAGTACCATTACCAAGCACTTCTACGTCATCAGAGATGTCACACGGTTCATGGAATTTTCACGCCTATGACTCAGAAAATCTTTCTCCCTCACCTATTCCAGCGTGTTCTCCAAAGAATTCCACATATTCCGATGATTTCAATATTCAAGACACAGTCTAGATTTATACTAAGTGACATATAAATTCGAACACCCAGTTTAAATGGTTTTATTTTAATAAACTTTTGTATAAGTACTTAATGAAGCATAATAAGTAAATTATAAAAATTTCAAAATGATTGCACTGCTTTAAAGCCCTTTGACCTTTAATAATTTGTGGATGCACCCTGATGTGCTACGCATTCTCCAACGCGCCTAGGCATGCTTCTGATCAGGTGGTCAATGTCCTCCTGTGGTAACTCATTCCAGGCAACCACCAACTCCTCTCGAAGTGCTTCTAGAGTCTGAGGAGGATGTTGCAAATTGAGCAATCTCCTACCCATCATATCCCACACGTGCTCAATTGGGGATAAGTCGGGAGATCTTGGTGGCCATGGTAACAATGTGACATCATTATGTTGAAAGAAGTCTATTGTGACTCTTGCAACATGTGGTCGGGCATTATCTTGTTGGAAAGTTGGATCTGCCAGGGTGTCAAGATAGGGTAAAAGATGCGGTTCCAGAACTTCGTGGATATAACGCTGCGCGTTCATGTTATCTCTGATGAAGATTAAAGGTGACCCGGAACCATAAGCTATAGCACCCCAAACCATAACTACAACAGTGTGATGAACATGTCTTTCAATAAAAAACTGAGGATTCCTCCTTTCACCACGTCGCCTTCTAACCCTGACACGACCATCGTGCATGCCTAAACAAAATCGAGACTCGCCACTAAAGACAATACTGTTCCATTCCTGATCCCAGAGTGACCGTTGTCTGCATCACTCAAGGCGATTACGTCGGTGTTCTCGAGTTAAAGGGAGGACCCAGTGTGGCCGGTATGAAAACAAGCCAAAACTTCTCATTCGTCGATAAACACTTCGCATGCCAATAGGTCTTCCGTGTTCTGCAAACCATTAATTTGCAATGGACCTGGTAGTGGAGAAACGGTCCCTTAAGGCCAATAATCTTAGGCGGAGATCTTCACGGTCTGTTGTTCTACGGCGGCGTCCAGTGCTCCTTGCTCTTTGCGTACGGCCTTCTCGAAGCCATGCCTGACAACACCTAACCACAGTGTCTACACTTCTTTGCACTCTAACTGCAATTGCCCGAAAAGAAAGTCCAGCTTCCCGAAGTCCCACTATACGGCCCCTATCAAACTCACTAAGTTGACGAAATCGTACAGGTCTCCGTACTCGTAACCGATCGTAAAGGATGTCAAGAACCAAAATCCGCCAACGCTGATTCTCTACTGCCGCTGAAATATTCATTTTTAGAGCGTTAGTGAATTAAAAAAAAGCAGTATAAAAACTGGAATGTCCAACTGATAAGGCTGAACATTTTTTCACTTGTTATTTACAGTAAGATAAATACATTCACCAACTTTTATTAAAATAAAACCAATTAAACTGGGTATTCGGATTTATATGTCACTTAGTATATTTTATATGTAATGAAAATGTAGATAACACAACAAATGTGAATTACAGTACTAAGGAAAATGTCTGTATATAGTATGTCAACGTGTTAATAAAAAGTTAAACGTAAAACCTATCACTATTTATTATTTGTATTTTTTTTTTATTTTAATTATTTTCCCCAGCAATCATGCATATTACCACACATACATTTCACATAAATATAAAAAATACAAAGTGAATAAACAAAAAAATAATGAAATCAACAAAATAATATTTCTGAACTGAAAATTTTGAATAATACGATACAACTCACTTACCTGAATGTAGTTCTTGAGTGTGTCTATAAGGGCATCACATACTTCAGGGATGATTCGGCTTATTGACTGCTTAGATATTTTAAATAGATATTGGAGGCTAACATATGAGTCGCCGGTAGCCAAAAAACGGAGAGTTAGTGCCAACCTCTCCTGTGCTGGAATTGATTCACGAAATCTCGTGTCTCTTCTGGAAATCAATGGACCAATTGAATTTAGTAAAAATTCAAAATCAGTGGGATGCATTCTAGTGAAATTTTTATATAGCCCACTGATATGCTGGAATTTTGAATCCGCCAGCAAGCTTCATCCACTATAAATCTTCCTACACCAACGTTGCTTCTCAGAGCTCTCTTCCATGATGCCGCCGCGAGATGGGGTTGCCAGACAGACCCGCCTGACTGGCATCCTATCCTAACCGTGTCGAACTTCGTACAGAACTGGATGATACGACCGTTACTTTGTTCCGATGGTATCGAGATTGTGGTATAATCTACAAGAGGAATCTTTTCCCAGTTCTACTGACCTTAGGCAGTTCAAAAATCGTATTAACAAATTTTCTTTGGAATCATCATAGCAGCCGCGGTGTCCCGGAATTAAGGCTTCTGCCTGCGCGGCTGCTTCGATATAAAAAAGAGGTTAGTCATAGCAGATATTCTGAATGTTGTCAGTCATTTTGTAGACAAAGCCAGACTCTTCTCTGGATATCTGTCAGTGCGTAGTTATTATGATTTTGCGATAAATCTGATATACAAAACAAATGACTTTCTGACAATTTCAAGGCCTACTTAGGAAATTCTGTTTTTTAATAACTGTTTGGCAATGTCAATGTATGACATACATTTTTGGAATCAAAATCAAAAACTCTATTTATCTGTGTAAAAATTCAATATGGCGTCTATACGAAAAAATAAAGTTGATGCTAAAGAACAAGAGACGAGGCGTAAATCATAGCAGATGTTCAAAATGTCCGTTACTTTATAGGCAAAGCTTGACTCATCTCTGTCCTTTGTTCACTGCTCGATTTATTTCATATCTCTTCAGTATTCCAAGCTCTGTTGCTATATTCAATTCGAGGTCTGCTCTGGTAAACGAAACAAATGAAATCTGATAAGCTCAAGGCATACCTAGGAATGTCTGTTTTTCTAGAATAACAAAGGTACGGCAATGTCAATGTATGACCTATTATACATTTATTAAATTAGAATTCAAAACTGTGTTCGTCTACGCAAAAATTCGATATAGAAAGATAAAGTTGATGCTGGAGGGCAAGAGATGAAACTACGGATAACAAAATTAAATCTATTTTGGGAAAATTCGTTATTTTCCATCTCTATCCGGAAGTATTTTGAATTTTGAAACTTTCTAAGCGGCTTTTTGTAACTTACATAAATACGCATCTTTATCCCACTTCAAGCGATTTTTTAACGCTTCGGGGATCCCCATGGTGACGGTCGAATATGAAACCCAGTATATAAATCTCTCAATACACGTTAATTTAAATAAAAAGTAAGTAGCCCACTTAAACGCTGGCATAAAACTGTTACACAAATCTTATATAGAGCGGTCCATACACGTACCTAATGCTAGACGAACCATTCGTCCTTCTGGGCGTGTTGGAGCGGCGCGCCGTCTGCCAATGCCCCGCCTCCAGTATGATCGGGGGCGGTATTGCCATTGGCCGGCGCGTCACGCCTCACTTTGCCCGGCTGCAGTAGAGGCGGGCCCGGACCAGCGTGCTGAGGAACCCTAACGGGCCCGCAGGGCGGCGCCAGTTTCCCGACAGTTGATTTTGGTTACCGGCAGTGGGCGAGCCGCCAGTGGTCCGCGGTAGCGTCGTCGTGCTGCCCCCGCCTCCGATACCGCCCATGGCCTGCTTCATGGCGCCGTTAGACCCGTACATCTGCTGTACTGGAACAAAAACGGTCATTTCTATTTTGCCTTGACCCTTGAAATCAGGTCAAAGTGAAGATCAAAGCCAAACTCGTAGTTGAATTCAAGGTCAAATTGGGGACAATGTCAATCGTTAGTGCCAAATATAATCAATGATTACGTTGAATGTCAAGGCTCAGGCTACCATAAGATGACAGCACTTTTCTTTAATTTTGACAAAAAATCTTTCTAGTGCTGACCTTTTTGAGATCTAGAATAGCAAATATATATATATATATATATATATATATATATATATATATATATATTTTGAGACGTGGTCATTGTCGTCTAGACCAGTTAGGTGAAAAATTAAAGCTTCCGCCTTTTGTTGGGTACTTCGACAAAATTTAAGCAAAGAGGACTCTTTATACTTTTTTAATTCTCTCTAGCTTCCAGTGGACTTTGCCATCATCAAGCGACTTGATGATTGCACAAAATGGTGGTCATGGAATAATGAGTGAGATGAACCCTTTGACAGAAGGCCGAAGGTTGTCAATGTCTGTGTAGAAAGATGGAAAGAATTGTGAGCGTGTGCCAACGTTGCCAAATCACTTCAGATGATGTGATTTTCAGAATGTTATGTATGAAATTGTTAAACCGACCAGAGGCAGTTGAATTAAATATATTTTAATTAATGGGAAATTAAATTAACAATTATTATTAAATCGTGAGAAGAAAATTATTAGAATTTTAGTGGAATGAAGTTTATTGGTGGAATCGACCAAGAAACAGATTCCATTTATGGTTGTGAAGAGTCAAAATTTGGGGAGATATGTAAGTTCTCCAATTTTTCGCAGTTTAGCAAATATGAGTAAATGACACTCAGTTGCTTAACATCTGTCTTTTTGTTGATACAGTTGTTATTCATGAAAATGTGGGACATTTCCAGGAATAAACGTTTGGAAAGGTGTTTTTCTTTATCAAGATCTTTGATACTTGTGTAATTCATAGAATGCTCTGTTGTGTTAACATGAGATGCTAGAGCGCATCTTTCAGGATGAAGCCTAGAATCACTTTTGTGTGATGTAATCCTTCCTTTAAGAGATCTGGAGGTCTGACCTATGTATATTTGGTTGCAGTTGTTGCAATTGATGGAGTAGACTGTGTTGGTTACGCCAAGCAGCGGGACTCTGTCTTTCATTTTGAAAAATGCAGTATAGTGAGGACGGATTTGCAAGCAATTCGAAAGCTCAAAGGACTGCACAATCTGATCAGCTTAGGGGCCAGTTCCTTGATATAGGGCAGGACAGCAAAACCAGGTCTGGAGTCCGGGTTGGCGCTTGTAATGTTTGAATTGATGCTATTGTTGGGAATTACATCAGTTCCGTTCTCTAGAATCTTTCACCAACATTATTACATTCCTCTTTCATAACAATTATTTCTCTTTCAACAACAAAATATATTCTCAAACACATGGTTGTCCTATGGCATCTGTTCTATCACCAATTTTGGCAGAATATGTCATGGATGATCTGCTTGATACTGTTATTCTGACGCTACCCTATAACCTCTTCCTCATAAAAAAATACGTAGATGACATTATTTTATGCCTCCCCTCCATAGGTCTGGATGGTATTGTCAGAGAATTCAACAGCTATGACCCCTACATCCAATTTACCATTGAAAAAGAAGATGAGAACCTGTCTGTCCCCTTTCTACACACAAGACTCATCCGCACCATCAACAATAGTTTATTGGTGGACTGGTACCAGAAACCTATGGCCTCAGGTCGGTTTCTCAATTTTAGGTCATACCATAAACTAGGGATTAAAATCAACTTGGTAAAACAGATGAAAACAAGGGTAATCAGCATCTCAGATAATACTTTCCACACCTCAAATTTACGTAATCTATCAAAACTGTTCATCAATAATGGTTATCCGAAGTGTCTGATTAACAAGATCTTAATTAGTTCACCTTCCAATATTTTGCCGAACTCTGATGATGCAGGTAATAGTCGCACAACCCCTAATAACGGAACTGATGAAATTCCCAACAATAGCATCAATTCAAACAGTACAAGCATCAACCCGGACTCCAGACCTGGTTTTGCTGTCCTGCCCTATATCAAGGAACTGACCCCTAAGCTGATCAGATTGTGCAGTCCTTTGAACTTTCGAATTGCTTGCAAATCCGTCCTCACTATAAACTGCATTTTTTCAAAAATGAAAGACAGAGTCCCGCTGCTTGGCTTAACCAACACAGTCTACTCCATCAATTGCAACAACTGCTTGGCACACGCTCACAATTCTTTCCATCTTTCTACACAGACATTGACAACCTTCGGCCTTCTGTCAAAGGGTTCATCTCACTCATTATTCCATGACCACCATTTTGTGCAATCATCAAGTGGCTTCACGATGTAATGCTTTCATGTTTTTAAAAAAATTTTAATCTGTTTTTAACTTGTTCTTGTCATATTTTATATAAATTTGACCATTGTACCATCTATCCAGCTTTCACCATGTTACTGGACGTTTCCCTCATCCTATACGTAAACAACAATTAGCAACATCCTCACATACTACTGTAAGTTAAGTCAATTTAAATTCATTTTACACTATTGTTGCTACTGTTATCATTGTAATTGCAGCTCCTGATGATGATGGCAAAGTCCATTGAAAGCTAGAGGGAATTAAAAAAGTATAAAGAGTCCTCTTTGCTTAAATGTTGTCGAAGTACCCAACAAAAGGCGGAAGCTTTAATTTTTCACATATATATATATATATATATCAGTCAATTGTTAATTGGGCAATTGGCAAATTTTTAGGCTTAAGTTGACTATTTTGACGATAAAATCAAGCTTTCGGCATTCTCCATGGAGCCTTCATCAGGATTCTGAAAACACAATTGTGATGCTAGCAAAGAAAACAGGACAGATTTAGATTGTCAAACAACTTACTCGTCGTTGAGGTTGCAGCCACAAGGTGTTTCAAAACGAACGTAGAGAAGATAGAACTCGTAATAAAGATAAAAACAAAGGGACGGAGACATTGGGCTTGTTGATAATGACAGATACCTTCGTTAAATATGTTCGGGTGTATTGATATTCTTATATTATTTATACTTATTACGAGTTCTATCTTCTCTACGTTCATTTTCAAACACCTTGTGACTGCAACATCAACGACGAGTAAGTTGTTTGACAATCTAAATCTGTCCTGTTTTCTTTGCTAGCTTCACAATTGTGTTTTCAGAATCCTGATGAAGGCTCCATAGAGAATGCCGAAAGCTTGATTTTATCGTCAAAAGAGTCAACTTAAGCCTAAAAATTTGCCAATTTCCCAATTAACAATTCATTGTATTTTGTGCCCAACTGGTCGTTAGCTTTGGCAATGACTACTGCTCAAGTTATATATGTATATACTCGTATATATATATATATATTATATATATATATAGGTGAAAAATTAAAGCTTCCGCCTTTTGTTGGGTACTTCGACAAAATTTAAGCAAGGAGGACTCTTTATACTTTTTTTATTCTCTCTAGCCTTCAATGGTCTTTGCCATCATCATCAGGAGCTGCAATTACATTGATAACCGTAGCAACAATAGTGTAAAATGAATATAAACTTTCGCTTTAAATATTTTTTAATCTGTTTTTAATTTGTTCTTGCCATACAGCTGTGCGTAGTTTGTATAATTTTGACCATTGTACCATTTATCCAGCTTTCACCATGTTACTGGGTGTTTCCCTAATCCTTAACGTAAACAACAATTAGCAACATCCTGACATACTACTGTAAGTTAATTTATATTCATTTTACACTATTGTTGCTACTGTTATCAATGTAATTGCAGCTCCTGATGATGATGGCAAAGACCATTGAAAGCTAGAGAGAATAAAAAAAATATAAAGAGTCCTCCTTGCTTAAATCTTCTCGAAGTACCCAACAAAAGGCGGAAGCTTTAACTTTTCACCTAACTGGTCTACACGACAATGACAGCGTCTCAAGAAACAATATATATATATATATATATAGATATATTTATATGTATTCAGGGTGGCCCATCCATGCGTGGACTAAATATTACTCATAAACAGATACATTTTGGGAAAATTTATTTATGGGATGTTATGCATGATATTTGAGGGCACATTTCTAAAATATTGGCCATTATACAGAGTATCCCAATTTCGACCTGTATGTCAAAGTTGTGATTTTTTAAATGGAATGCCTCAAATTTTGCATATTTGGATAAACCAATTCAAGAGAAGAAAATTGATATAACATACTATGTGGTTTTGGTAGTTAGCTACTGAGATATAAGATGTTTTGTCTAGAAAAACCCTCTACTTCGACAACCCCTCAGTCCGCCATTTTGAAATTTGGAGTGCTGAATTTGATATCAAGAAAAAACTTACACACCTCAGCTTTTATCTTATTTGCTACTTTTTCGAATTTTAAATTTTTGCTCATACAGGGTGGTCAAACACGCAAATTGTAGTTATTCTCAAAAATTTCAAATGCATCACCCAATTTTTTTAAACCTTTTTTTTTGATACTAGACACATAAGGGTTTTTACGGCTATGTTTTCGGTTATTAGCACGTCTTTTATGGAACGGCTTAATTCCCTAAAATATCGCATCATCCTTGGAAACAAACAAATTGTTGATTAGTTACAAACTGTCAAAGCTAGCTTTGCGAGCATTATAGTAAGAACGTGTTTGAAAATGAATTTTTCTAAAGAAGAAATGGTGAATATGGTGTTCGTTTGGGTGAAGCCCAAAGAAATAGTTTCCTATCTTTTCGCATTTATAAGCAACGGTACCCTAATATGCAACATCCAAGGCCGGAAGCATTTTCCACACCACGAGAACGTTTTGAATCAAGTGGAGCAGTGGAATATAATAAAAAATGTATAAATAATTCAAGTCTCACCAATGAGGCGAATCAGTTGGAGGATATATTAAAGTTGCAGGAAAATCCCCATTTAAGTGCATGGCAAATTGGAACAGAAACTGATATATACG